CATTAGAACTGCCATTGCCTAGGAAAATAGTAAACTAAAAGCAATACTGTATTCCTGGAGGGATTGCAGAGATCAGTGCCACCATCAAAACTTGAAAGATGCAGGGGTGGTAATTCCTACCACATCCCCACTTAACTCGCCTATTTGGCCTGTTAAAAAAAGACAGATGGATCCTGGAGAATGACAGTGGATTATTGTAAACTTAACCAGGTGGTGACTCCAATTGCACCTGCCTTGTGATTGGCTGCTGTGCTTACATAGCCTAGCTCTCTCTATAAATAGAGGAAAATCTGGCAGCAGACAAGACTTGAAGGACTGCTAGTCTCTTACAACTTTCTCTCACGGGAGTGAGTTGCATTGAGCCATTTGTAGTGCTTTATAATCTAACTGTTTATTTCTTGTTTTATATATATATCTGTATATGATTTAACAGTTCATTTCTTGTTATATATCTAATTATCCTTATAAATAAATATATTAAATTATCAGCAATTTGGTTTTATCTCTTTTGAGAACCCTGTCTAACACAGGGGGTCACCACAACATGAAGAGCTATATTAAAGGGTCGCTGCAGTAGAAAGGTTGAGAACCACTGCTTTAAAGTGTTGAAGAGTGAAGATATTACTTTGAGCAATGCAAAGCCACAAAACCCCTGAGGAACCCACAAAATAGACTTCAGGCTAGGAGGGCCAATTCCTGGAATTCCCCCAGGACCAGTAGGGAGACAGTCATAAAGGTGAATAGGCATACCATGGCATTATGTATGCTTTTTTTCCCTAGTTATTATTATCTTTTTATTCAATCTTTTGTTTTCTTTTTGTTTTGTCTCCATTATTGTTAAGTTTGCCTACATATATAAGGTAGGCATGGGGAGCAAGCTCGTGGAGAAAGCAACTGGACTGGTGGTTCTAGGGGGACTTGGGGAGAGGAGGGGATGCAGGAAGGTTGCGTGAGCAAAAACAATGCCATAGATAGGGGAACAACTAGGGAATTAAATGCAACAAAGAGGAGGTCATAGAGATCCTGGGGGTGTTGGAGCAACAACAGTCTAGCTGAGAGGAATTACTAAGAGGCAGAAGAAGGGAGAGAGTGATGGTGGAGCAGGAGAAAAGTAAAAGGAAACAGGGGAAAGATCTAGGAAGCATAGCTATGGATAGAGTTATAAACATTGGTGTGACATATGTAAATACATCATTAATTCATAGAAATAGAGGTATTGGTCTATGTACATATATTTATATGGCAATACACTGAGGTAGTGGATAGACTTTGGGCCTCTGCTCAAGATCTCCCTCGATGCAAGAACAATTTGCTCTAACAACCTTGCATTCTGTGATGTTCACCCTCCCAGCATGACCACTGAAGACAAAAGGTGTCTGAAAAAGTTGGCTGAAGCTTAGGAACAATTGTGTGGATAGTGAAGTATTGGGAAGTGTTCCTGTTGTGTATAAGGTAATGACAAGTCAAAACTGACTGTATGGCACCTAGCAGCAGTTCAAAATTTGTTATTCTGCACAGTCGAATGCCTTTGTGTAGACAATTGAAGTATAAACATCTTTCAAGCATTCTCTGCTCTAAACCAAGATGAATCTGACATAATCAATCAAATTCTTCATGTCAATTCTCCTTCTGAATCTGGATAGAATTCCTGGCAACTGCCCCTTGATGTATTGCTACAAGGAATTTTTGAATTGTCTTCCACAAAATTTTCCTTGCATGTGATATTAATGATATTTTTAATGATTTTAGCATTCTATTGGGTCAACTTTTTTGGAATGGGCTCAAATATGACTTTCTTCCAGTTAGTTTACCAGGTAGCTTACTTCCAAATTACTTGGCATAGGCTAGTTAATGCTTCTAACACTCCATTCATTTCTTGAAACAGTTCAATTGGTACTACATTATTTCTCTTAACGATATCTTTGTCTTAATTTGGCTAGACCAGATCATGTACACGAGTACAGATAAGAGCTGGAAACACAGGGAATCCAGGACACATAACCCTCTCAGGTTCAATAATGAGAGTAGAAATACCAGGAGGGTAAGGAGAAGGTGGAGGGAGAATGGGGGAACCTATCATAATTATGTGCATATAACCCCCTCTCAGGGGGATGGACAACAGATCAGTGGGTGAAGGGATATATCGATCAGTGTAAAACATGAAAAAAAAGATAATTTATAAATTATCAAGGGTTCATGAGGGAGGGAGGGAGTGTTTTGGGGAGGAGGGGGTGGAGGGAGGGAAAAATGAGGAGCTTATACCAAGGGCTTAAGCAGAAAGAAAATGTTTTGAAAATGATGATGGCAACAAATGTACAAATGTTTCTTGACACAAAGGATGTTTGTATGGATGATGATAAGAGCTGTATGAGCTACAATAAAATGAGTAAAAACAACACAAAACAAAAAAAACCCAATATCTTTGCCTTAATCTCATTAGGTTTCCTAAAAAAGACAAAACGGTGGCTTTTTAAGGAAGCTACTGGGTTAGTTTCATTGAAGTTAAAAAGGGCAGCTCCAAAGGTTATGGTAACAATTTTAAGGATTGCAAATGATAATCTTGATAGATTTTCAGAAAGGACAAGCAATTATCATGGGGAGTTATTAAATAACAGATCCTAGAAATTTGAAACTGCATCGGTTAAAAAAAGTCAGGACATCTGAGCTGAGAGTCTTTTTTTTTTTTTTTTACTCCCATCAAAACACCACACCTGCGTGTGACCCTTCCTGTTTACTTTATTCTCAAAACCTGTGACCCCCCACAAAAAAATTCATAGGAATACAATTTGGTTCCTAGAGTGTAGCAAAACTGTCATTTTTATGTGGTACAAATCTAAGAGCGCAGGATGCTCTGATGAAACATTCAGTCGCTGTCAATCATGACTGCTTATTGAAGAGAAGAGCTCAAATGGTTTCTGAGGCTGCGTGTCCTTACGGAAGTAGACCTTCTTCTGCTTGTAATTTCAAACCTCTGGCCTTTAGGGTAACAGCTCAGTGCTTAACCCACTGTGCCACCAGGACAAGAGACATGGAAATACTACCCTCAGAAGTGTATGGGTGCAGACGGAAGATGTTTAAGCAAATAACACCCTCCTATTTGTATATAGAGAACTATATTTCTACATATCACACACCATGTGGAAATGAACAAGAGGTGAGCATAGAATGTAATCTCAAAACCTCTACATGAATATGTAAGATAAAAAATATTTCCTTAGTAGGTTACAAAAAGATCTCATAACCAAGCCAAAACACATCATGAAAGAAAATTTGCTTAATTGTACTTAATCTAATTAAAAAATCCCTGTAATCTAATGATAGTTCAGAGTAACCAATGGAAATAATACAAGTAAAAGGCCATCTAATCCAAGTACTAGTACTTAGACTTTAATAAAAATTATCATGGAAAATCACAAGCCCATAACCATGGGAAAATGATTTGAACACATTATTCAATATAGATATATAGAAGGTGATAACAAACAAAAACAACAACAAAACTACATGATATTTTCAACATAATTTATTCATTCAAGAAAAAGCAATTAGTACGAAGTTTATTTACATCACAGTCTTGTTATGAGATGCGTGTTTTAAAATTGGCATCATTAAATGTCTGAAGGTTGAAAATCAATGGAAATCTCATTTATTGCTGGGGAGAATGCAAAATAGCACAGGGAATTTGGAAAATTCCCAGGTGTGCTCCAGGTGCATACCTGATTAGAGTTACTACTCTCGTTCCTTTCAAACATCCTTTCCTTCTCCTAAAAGGTAAGGAGTCAAACAACAATACATATGCAAGGCATGCAAAGTAATGGATTTGATGACTAATGGCATTCATTTCCAGTTAAAATGTACAGAATATGACAGACATCTGTAAAACAGGTACTAACTATGTGAGTTGCAAAACCAGAGAAAGCACCTGGCGCAGCTGCACTGTCTTATTTCACTATTTTGATCATCCTTGCTCTTATTTAACATTTTATATGGAAGAGGGTATGAAGTGATAAGTCTGCTGCATCTCAAATTTTATTTAGCCTCACCTCCATCAGAGGTTACAACAGATACAGCCATAAAATAAAATAAAAATGAAGGAAGGTCATCTCAAGTGAGATATGGAAATGTTAGAACTGCCAAGAGGTTGGGTGGGTTATCATGAAAAACCAGTTGACATTTTCTTGTTTGTTTTGTGTGTTATTGTTTTTCACATTGCTAGCGTGGAAAACAAGCAGCTGACTTCTTACAAATGTGTTTGCTGCCGTTTGAACAGTCAGAAGGAGCCATCTTTGTTGCTTTTATGTATCCACAGTTGCCATTGTTTGAATATTTCCAATCACTGGTAGAAAATCTAAAATAATAAATAAATGTTACTGTATTTATTTACGCAGACTTAATAAAATACATTTTCTAAAATCAACTGTATATTTCTCTTTCTTTATCAAGGTTTTTATTTTGTGCCAACACCTTTACCTATGGAGGATCTTGTGAGAATTTAGACTTAAAATTGAAAGTGATAAGCTTCCCTCCTTTGAAGAAAGTGGAATTGAAATGAGAAACGCATGTAGAAAGTGATATTACGTTTTGGAGATTGAAATCAGTAACTTGAAACAAAGGCTCTATCAAGGTTTGAATGAACAACTGACTGGCTCTGAAAATCTTCACTTAATTCAAAATAAGATATTAAAAAGGAAAAACAACAACCCCCAAACAGTCCATATGTGGACCAGAAGGTCTGGAAGAGGGGAGCTCTTGTCCATTGTCAATAGATGTATCTCCATATTTGTGCTGAAAATGTTATATGTGTATATATGTGTGTGCTTATAAAGCTGTATACAAAACTAGGCATGCATATATATATATATATATATTTTGAACTGTCACACCTCTGCCTTTATTGTGAGCACAGGGGTGACTCTTTTCAGAAAGAGTAAAAAAAGACCCAAAGTGTAATTTACAAAAGGAGAGATCCAGTGAAGCCGCTGGTTGGTGCCCCGAGGGGGTGGGGGTTGTCATACATAGATGCCGACCCAGAGCAGCAGGAAGAGGACCCCAAAGCCTATAAAGAGCGAGGCCACCAGGGAGATGAGGAGCTCTTTGTAGATGTCCCGAGTGTACTTGGTGGAGGTCACCTCGTAAACGAAGAACCAGGCGGTGAAGAACATGCCAATGGCCAGGAGCACCACGGTCAGATGGGGAAAGACAGCTGGGTTCACCGGGCTGGTATACCTGCTCATGGCCTCGAGCTCCATTTTGCCAGGCACCGGGTTCGCCGCCACTTCACTACCGGAAGAACCAGCATGCATATATTTATGCACTTTGAAAAGTATAAACTAGAATCTGTGATTAAGAACTAATTAAAAGAGAAGAAAAACACAAACCAATTATCACTAAATTACTTAAATTAACAGTACTCTATAATTTGTAGTGGTACACACAATTGCATGCTTTTGCACAGTCTATAAGTTGCAGGCAAACATATTTGGAGACTTTTCTATTTTCAGTCAATATTTATATAACATTAATGATGATATCCCTCATTCCACTTCTTCTGTTGTTTCTGGATTTAATTTCTGGTGGTTTTCTGTCAATACACTGTTGTAACCATTGTCAACGGTCTTTTGCACAATTTTAGTTTCATGTGATATTAATATTTTTGACTTTCCTCTCTTCCTTCACACCACCTTTCTTTGTTGTTGTTGGTGGTGGTGCCATCGAGGTGGTCCAGACCTTAGCAACCTTCTGCAGAGCAGATGGAAACACTGCCGGATGCGGGCCGGCCTCACAGCTGTGTCTACGCGAGAGCTCATTGTTGCAGCCCTGATGTCTCTTCCTCTCCTTGAGGCACTTCCTCTCTCGAGCTGTCTCTCCACTTTACCAAACACAATGTCCCCTTCAAGGGACTGGTCTCACCTGACATGTCCAAAGTATGGAAGACCAAGTCTTGCCATCCTTGACTCGAAGGAGCGCTTTGGCTATAGTTCTTCCACAAACAGATCAGGTTGTCTGTCCATTAGTCCTACTGTGGTGGCTATGTGTTGCGGTGACTCTAGAGGCTATGTCATTGGTATTTCAGGTCACCCAAAATTAACAGGTGAGCAGAGCTTCCAGACTCAGGCTAGATAATGGAGAAGGACTAGGCTCCACGCTTCAGAAGGAGGCGCTGAACACGTGCAGGAAGAGTTCTAAGCTGCACTGACAGCAAGGTGAGAACCAAGGCTCTAGTTTTTTAAAATATTTCAGAAACTGATGCTACATTGTGAACACTCATCTATCTATGATAAGAAATTAGAAACCAAGTTATATGGCTAACCCCCAAAAGAGATCTCATTCCACAGAAAGGTGTTTGGAAAATGTAGGATCCCTTCGGATTCCTTCTGGATCTCTTCCTTTGGGCTTTCTAATTTCTTGTCATAGCTAGGCAAGTGTTTACCATGAATTCTCAGTTTCTGAAGCATTTCAGCACTGAAGCTTGGTTTTCACCAGTGGTCTTCAATGTGACTTGGAATTCTTCTTTCACGACAGTTAGGTCCTGATCATCGGCTTATTGTAGTGTCTGTTAGGTTCTCGGGGTTGCTTCCCATCCATTGTGACCCTATGTGCCCCAGAACACTACCTGGTCCTCAGAAAGCCTCACATAAGCAGCCTTGGAGTGCCCTCACAAGGCCAGCACTTGCAAGCCACGAGCTACTCCAACGGAGAAAGGTGAGGATTTCGAATCCCATAAAAAGTTACCGTCTTGAAAACCCTCAGGGACAGTTCTATGCTATCTTATAGTGTTACAAAGATTGGAATCTACTTGAGAGCAGAGCTTTGGGTTTGGTATTTGGTTTACACTTTGCCAAGCCTGATGTCCCTTTTTCAGGCACGTGTCTCCATAAACTTCAAGACTGATGGTTTTCAAGGAGATCTCCAGTCCTTCCTTGTGAGGCACTTCCGGCTCAGTGAAAAATGGCCATCTTTCTGTTAGTAGTTGAGTGCTAAGTTTTAGAACTCAATAGCTTCTATCCAGGAGGCTTACATATTGGGAGAGGCTGATGAGTTATCTCCCCCAATCCAAGAGCTGCTGGACGCTTTATGAGACAATCCAATCCAAAAGAAATAAGATATTTGCCTTTGAATAAATTTCTGTTATGAAAGAAATACATTCTATCAGTAAAAGTATTTTTCTGCTCCTCAAATGAAATGAATAACCTCGATATTATTATTGTGGAAAATAAAGTTTTATATGTTCAAGTTATGAAATAATGGAATTTCAGATATTGAAATTTCATGAAATATATTGACATAAATTTATGGCTGAGAATTTCCAACTTCATCTATTTCATTTAAACAAGGATTGATACTCAACATTTTGTCAAAATATTTCTGTAGTTCAAAGTTTCAAAGATTGAGTAATAGATTCTGGCATGTACTTTGGAGAATGAGTATGACATTCTCAGAATTCTGCTCATGTTCCTTTATGTTTCATTCTGTAAATGCTCAGTATACTCCCTAAGAAAGGGAAATACTTTGGAATTAGACTCTCCCCACAAGTTCTGGCATTTACACGATCGTCTAATTCCCTGACTATGTAAACCTAACTGATATTCAGCAAGCATATTCATTTTAAAAATTCATGCAATTACTCATAAATCCTTAACATATATTGTAAAGAAAATCTAGTTTTGTTACACCATCTATATATTTTCAAAGTAAGGAAAAAATAATGAGTGAAACCAGAAATAAAGTAAAGATTTATGTAAGTAAGTTGTATTTTTGCTCATTTTCCCCCAACTCTTGTTTTAATATTATTTTGCATTCTTATACCTTTGTAGAAAAGGGTAAAAATATAGGCTCTTTCCAAGAAAGAAAATAAAAGCAGAAACTACATCTATAACCCCAAATATAGAATACGGTATCCTATTTCTGTTCCCAGATGGCTATATTTTTCAGTCAATGTACTCTCTAAAGATAGTTTATGACTCCTAGATATTGAAAACTATTTCCAGACTTTCTCTATTTTTCTGTGAACTGAAGTTAAAATCCCCTATGTCGATGAATATATTATGAGTGGATAAATAAGTAGAAGGATTAATGAATAAGAAAGCATAAACACTGTTGTGAAAACTTATACATTTAGCAAAAGAATGAACATAAACAACTAATTTAACTTACAGACCCTCCACAAAAAGTCAACTGCTAGACAAGTCAGCATCATTGTCTAATGTATAAATACATAGGAGGTACTCCTGAGCATTATCATCCATACAAAGTCTATAATATTTAACTAAGAAAATTAGAAGGAACCTTCCCATTAAGTTGGATTACGAATGTAGAATGGACTGTGAGATTTGATACTTACTCCTTTTCATGGAAACTTTAAAATATATTATCATAAATTTCCATATAAGTACTTTTATTTCAGTGTGTACACAATTGAACATATATTTTTTTATTTACTCCATTGTGTTAATCTGGGTACTTTAGCGAAACAAATCCACAGAAATGCATATGTATAAGAGAGAGTTTTATACAAAGGTTAAGTGTGCATCAAGAAAACATCCCAACCCAGTGCTGCCCAAGCCCACAAGTCCAACATTAACCCATATGTTCAACACCAATCCACAAAGTCCTCCTCCATCTCACAAAATACACGCAATGACGCTGACTGGAGGAGGAAAGTTGAATCAGTGAACGTGTAAGCATCTCAGCAGTTCCACACGGCTGCTCCAGCCCCCAGGGCTGCATCGGGGTAGGTCCATGAGGTTTCTTCTCAGGGATGTCTCACAGGAAGTCAGCCTTACCTGCTAAAGCAGGGAACTGGCTAAGTGAGCTGCACCCTGGTCTGACCATCAGCAATCAAGAGACCAGAGAACTAAAAAGGTGAGGCTCACTGAGCCATTTGTCTCTCTGCCTTTCAATTAACCCCACATGTGTTTAAAGGCCAGGTTGGCACAATAAACTAATACCTCAAAAACAATCACAATCTCTTTGCGTAATAAAAAGGATGTTAATTCAGACAACACAAGTCTTCTTTCTAACTTCAAATTTTGCTTTGTTTTGCAATATTTGTTTTTAGTTCATATTTTTCTAATTATTTCTTTCTGAATAGTTGAAAGCCAAGCATAAGAATAATAGGGGTGGTGAAGAGAAGTAAATAGTTTTTACTTTTAAAAACTTATTTTGAAAGGATAGTTTACAAAGTAGCTCTATCCTAGAATGTTAATCTATATTAATTCTATATCAGTAACATTGGAAAATCATTTCTGTATTCATTCCAATGAAAGTCATAATTAAATCAATTATGAAATAGTTAATGTAGCATTTATTAGAATGCAATATAAGTTAAATATTAATAATTAAATTTAATTTACCTACAACTTTAAATCGACTAGAATGATTATTTTAATTCAGAAATTATGTTCTAACTTTATTTTATTAGTGGTGTAATGCTTTTTCTCACAGAATGGAGCTAGAATTCTATGGAATTCTCTGAGTCAGTTAAATAATTTTCTTTAAAAATATAATCTCTTTGAAACTACACATTTTGACTGATGTCTGATTTTAGATAGACTATATACACTGTTGAAATTCTAATTGTGGTTTTTATTTTAATTTATATTTCTGACTTTGACAAAAGAAATACTTGGGTCTGAATCAGTTAACAAGGCTTCACTCTGTTAAACATTGTGTCAGTTACATAATCTCTGTCAACTAGTGAAGGAGTGGAGTCTAGCCTGTCAATCAGGTCACAGCTTGATGACCTCATTTGGAGGTACAGTGGAGATAAATAACTGGTGGCCAGATATGCTCACTTCCTGCTTCAACTCACTCTACTTGTCTTCCTGCTAACAAGCCACATGGAGACCCTTGATAGAACCAGAACCCTGGAGCTGGAAACGCCACATGGAGACACCAGTGCTGAGGTGCTTTCACTGCCACTGCATCCACAAGACTTACACTAGGCATCATTGCATGTGTTGCTTGGGTCTGAAGAGGAAATTATAGACTGGTATTGAACCTATGGGCAAATCTCGGACTTCTGGCTTGATCTTGATATTGAGCTGGGATGTTTTCTGAATGTACAATTGCTCTTTGATATAAAGTTCTCTCTTACACACATATGAGTGTCACACACATATGAGTCTCTCTGGATTTTTTTCTCTAGTCTACCTGGACTAACACAAGATCCAAATGTTAATAAGCACTAAGAATTAGCCCACTACAAATGACATAGAACACATCCAATGGAAACCAGAAGCCGTACTCAC